CAATAATTCATTCAGTCTGGCTTTCATTCAGTCAGAGAGCAGCTGCCCCTGGTTCAGGACAGCCAGGCGAAAAACACCTCAAATCTCAGCTGTTGCTGAAGCTCTGATAAATTGGATGATTTACCGATTCAGAAATGATAGAAATTACTGTGTATGATTGGGGTGCTGCTGCGGTTGGCTTCTTTTTTTCATTTTGCTGTTCTGTACAGATTGAAACTATTTGATCAGGGTTTAAACAAAACTGTGGAGTTGACCCAAGTGTACATTACTTGTGCACCTTACCTGAACAACACCAGGTTAGAGCCAGGAGGAGTATGGCTGGAGATAAACTCGATAAGCATCATGCGTGCATATCCTGTTTCCTTTTAGAGTGCCGGTTGTGCACGTCTATAGAGATTCACGCCATGCAAATTTAAGATGCAATATGCACATAAACAGTAGGGGGTGTGAGAGGGTAGGCAACTCAGCAGCAACAACAGAACAGCAGAACATTTCAAGGACAAACTAGAGGAGACAATCAGCCTGTACAGTGTCTCACTGCTGCTGCACAGTGACAATGCTGGTCGAAAATAACTTGTGACAGGTCTAAGTCAATTTAAAAGTTGGCGCGCAAACAAGTCTGAGATATCGATGCACAGCGGAAATGTTGGAAGAATGGAGGGGGCTTTGTCAATGGCGTGTTTTATCCACAAATCATCATTCGCCTGAGCAAGCAATGGAATCTCATCCATCCCGAAACAAATTTTCCATAAAGTGTAGATTTGTGCCACTATATCGATTACAACACAAAACCTGTAGTTCTACATTGGAATCTCTTGGACGTGCACTGCAGAAGTATCCTGTAGTAATGTCAGTGGTTACACAGATGGTTGTCGATGCAGACACATGTAAATCTTTTTCCTCTCTGACAGCTACAGTGGCTTGTTGAAGGCTGTAGCTGGGAGGGCAGGAGAGCTGCTAGCATCCTTGCCAATGTCATGTCATGATTGAAAAATGCTGATATTTTGACCTTCAGACATTCAGAGTCATAGTCTATTGAGTTTGAGATAAGGATTAAAAGTTACTGTGAAGAAAACCCTGATGGATCAGGACAGATTTAAGAAAACACTCTGAACAACCTGAATTGTATTAAAGAGATTTCATTTGAAAAAAAACAAACTCTGTATGTGTTTGTTTACTGTCTGGGAAGCAGTTTATTCACATTCCTACTAATCTTGTCTCTGAAGAAACACTTTTTGAATATCAGAAAGTCTCTGTCACCATTTCGTGTAAAGTATTGTGAAGAATTGCATGTAAGTGTTTTTTTTCTGCCACCCCAGAGGTTTGAACATGTCACTGAGAGGATCATGAGTGGAAAAAATGATCCATAGCACAGAGAGGACTATATCGGCATTTGGCAGATTGAGGTAATATGTTAAAAAAGAAACTCACACAATGAAAGAATAAATGTACTGGAGACATTGATGGAAACATCAAGAATTCATAATCTTTTTAGGATTCATGCACTGGGGAAGGCTGTGATGTAATGAAGCAGGTCTGTATAGCTTCGACTTTTAAGCCGTGGTGTCAGAGTGGCTCTGTGCATTGAGGAGAAGTGGTTACACTATGAAGAAAAGACTTAAAGAGGAAAAAGGGGAAGAAACTTAAAATATTTTCACTTTCAGACTCTCAGCAACAAAAGCAAAACCCTTAGTCAGACGAACCCTGCAACTTCGAAAATGTTCAAAGACCCGATTCATGAATATTTTACATGATGTGCCAGAACTTCATCTGAGCATCTGAATGTACTGGAGTCCTTCAATAGCCTATCTGTCTTAACACCCAGGCCACACAGCGTCTCTCTCCGTCTCCCCCTCTCATCCTCTCCCTCTCTCCTCCAACGGCCACACGCACAAGGCCTTCCATTCAAAGACCCGCCTCAGCAGTCCCCTGAGGTGCCAATGTACAGATCGCACTGCCTGGGATTGAAGTGGGAGCAAGTGAGTGAGAGCCAGTGGAGCTCATTGCTTCTTCCTCTCTGATGACGAGGCTCTATGCGGCTTTCTCTGACACCCACTCTCTGAGTTAAATGATGAAGGCTTTCTGGAGGAAAAGCGATAGCGGGTGGAGTTTTTTTAAAATACTTTACTCAAATACACTTTATGATGACTTATCCATACAAAAGGTTGCACTTACTCATTGCTGCTGTGTAGTTCAAACTCTGGTGATTCACAATTGGGAATGAAATTATAGTAAAACACAACTGAAGCCCATTTTTATTTTTTAATGAATTGCTTCCTATGAGATCTATAATGAGTGGTGTGAACTTTATAGTGTCAAACAATAGTTTTCACACCTTTTTAAGATTTAATTTTACTGCTTGTATTTAGAGCTCGACAGATTTATCAGTTGATAAAAATGAGCCTGTAATCACTGTTTATGTTTGCTGATAGGAAACATTTATTTTGCTGAATAAGCAACACAGAAATGTTCTGCATTCATCTTGAGTCTTTGCGTGAAAAAAATATTCCTGTGATTTGAGTTTTGGACATTTGGTTAATCATTTTAAGGGTCGTGATTTATCGTTATCTGAAATGTTTGCCTCCCTGATATCAGCGCAGTCATTGGAATCGGTATCTACTTGTATGTTGCACATGTCTGAATCCACTGTTTTGTAAATTTACACCATACCTACATGTGTGGAACACACGATAATTGGTGAGTTTTGCTTTATGAATTAAAGGAGTGCAAGTGTTTTGTCACATTTTTTTGCACGTTAGGTTTATGTTGCACATTTCTACATTTCAGCATTTACAACCAATTCCAATGCTCAGTGCCAGTACGAGACGTATTGCTATATAGACGGAGAGATGGAAGAGGAGAGTGTGGAGGACAGCGTGTTAAATGAGTCCAACCTTCATGCAGCAAACCAGGTTTTGTGTCCCACCTGAGACCAAGATGTTTAAAAGACATTAACTTGAATATATTGTGCGGTTTTGCAGAATTATCCGACACTGACATTCTTGTCTTGATGTAGGAATGGTTTCACTTGCCCTGGAGGTGTTGAGGAAGTCCATCTGCTGATAGCTCATGTAATGAGTTTAGCTACCTTGGAGAAAATGAATCCCTGATGAATAGAGTCAAAATCATGTAATGGAAATGTTTCATGTCCCTAGGAAAAAAAACCTAACATGGACTAATGGTATTTCTGTGAAACTTTCTCTAAACAGGATTAGACAGATTAAGTGTTTATACCTTCTTTTTTTTTAAAAGGTTATTTTTATGCTGTGAAGTGGATGATCATCTTTCAGCACACAATGAACAGAGTTTGGAAGGAATGGGGAGGTAATGGCACCAAGTTCCAGTCATGTTAAAATCCCATATCAGAAATTAGAGTAATGTATTGTGTGTGGGTTAAAGCATCCCTCAAGTATATACATGTAAATGTAAACGTGCATTTTCCAGTAAAGCCCAAACAGCCAGTTCTCTCCACTGCAGTGACTATTTGTATTTGTCTGATATTCCACCACCTCCATAATATTGTCTGCTTCGGTAAGCAGTGCAGCAGTACAGTACAGCTGGAGTGACAGAGTGTCACACATGATGGTAAAGTGCGGCAGAGGGAAGGAGGGCTGATGACACTGGCACAGTCAGAGAGACGCGCATTGTAGTTGGTGCCGCGGAGAGAGACGCGCGCCGCTCTTCTGCTGCACATCACACTTTCCAAACACTGAGGAGGACATTTTCAAAAGAAGAAGAAGCCACGATGTAGAATCAGTTGGAGGATGAGAACAAACCCTGCAGACACAGAGCGTTTCCTCTGAGACTTGTGGACAAAGAGTACGGGTTCCATTCTGCTCCATCAGCCGCGCGCTTGGCGCTCCGCACCGCGCAGGAGGATAGGTGCCGCTCGCTGCTTCCTCCCGCTGGATGGATCCCTGCTCCTCTTCTCTCACTTCTCACTGACGACTCCCACTTCATTAACTCCTCGGGTTTCTGGGATTTTGTTTCCCTCCTCCATCGGTGAGCGTTTGCTGCGCTTTTCACTGAAATTCGTATTGTCTTCTCCTCAGAGGGAAAAGACGAGATGCGATTCAGATTTGGCACATGTCTGGTGAACAAGCGCGTTCATTGCAGAACTTAAGTCTTTGCGCGCATTGGGGAAAAAAGGTTTTTTTTTTCAGTGAGCAAAACGTTCCCACCTTTGTCACGTTTTATAAGACATGCATCTGAACACAGGCTGCGTAATTCTTATGTCAAATACAGTGGCCAGGTGATGCAGGTTATAAAAATAAACATAAGTCGTGGTTATGTGCATTTGCAAAGAGTTGTGTAATCATTTTCCAGATAAAAGTGGAGCAGGTCACATCCTTAATATGATTCAACAGGTTTGTTTCAGTCAGCGCTTCTCTGTTCTCCTGCTGATCAGGCTGGTTTGTGCTTGTGTATTGACTGGAGCTGCCCATAATGTTCAGGTCAAGCTGTTGAGCTGCTGTGTGTTCAATGTACATCCAAGCAAATACAGGCTTAGAAATCAGAAGTCATTGGGTTCACAAATGCAAACTCAAGTAAACTGTTGCAGGCTGTAGATCTCAGTCGAGATCCTGAAGTGTACCTTTCATATAAACTTGACATTGAGGCATATTATGTAAAAACCTGAGCGTGAAAGTGTTTGAAGTGGGACTTCACCTCTACCCGTTCCTCACTGCTTGCAGTCGTGCTTCACTTGTTACCATGTATTAACTATTTCCACAAACCTGGATGACATTTTCACGACAGTTCTGCAGGATTTGGACAGAGAGCAGGGGAGAGTGACTGGAAATTGAATGGGGGGGGGGGACTCATTTGAAAGTCAAAATGTCACAAGTTTAATGCAGCTTACTTTACAGCATTGTGATTGGCAAACTGATTATTTGATTGATCATCCAGCGTACTCCTGCTTTCAGCTGTTTCCTCTTTTCTTTCTCGTTGACATTTATCTCTCAGATGCCAGCTCATTTTATGGAGAGTCGAGCCTGAAGGTGAGGACGACTACTCTGAAGACTCTGCTTCACAATGGCAACGGGAGTAGCAGCATGGCTTCCATTTGCCAGGGCAGCAGCCATTGGCTGGATGCCTGTTGCCAACTGCCCCATGCCTGTTGCCCCCATGGACAACAGCAAGAGACAGGACGAGCTGATCATCCTCAATGTTAGCGGCCGCCGTTTTCAGACCTGGAGAACCACCCTGGACCGCTACCCAGACACCCTGCTGGGCAGCACGGAAAAAGACTTCTTTTACAACGAAGAAATCAAGGAGTACTTCTTTGACCGGGACCCTGATGCCTTCAGAAGCATCCTCAACTTCTACCGGACGGGGAAGCTCCACTACCCCCGTCATGAGTGCATCTCAGCCTACGATGAGGAGCTCACCTTCTTTGGCATCATCCCTGAGATCATCGGCGATTGCTGCTACGAAGAGTACAAGGACAGGAAGAGAGAGAATATAGAGCGGCTGCAGGATGATCAAGAGGAGAACAAGGACCTGAAGCTGCCCAACATGAACTTCAGGGAGACCATGTGGCGAGCCTTTGAGAATCCTCACACCTCCACCATGGCTCTGGTCTTCTACTATGTCACTGGGTTTTTCATCGCCATCTCAGTCATCACTAATGTGGTGGAGACGGTGCCCTGTGGATCCACTGCCAACCAGAAAGATATGCCATGTGGTGAACGCTACACTGTGGCGTTTTTTTGCATGGACACCGCCTGCGTTATGATATTCACAGTGGAGTACCTGATGCGCTTGTTTGCCGCTCCTAGCCGTTACCACTTCATGCGCTCTGTGATGAGCATCATCGACGTGGTGGCCATCTTGCCGTACTACATCGGCCTTGTGATGACCAACAACGAGGATGTGAGCGGCGCCTTCGTGACGCTGCGCGTGTTTCGGGTGTTTCGTATCTTCAAGTTCTCCCGTCACTCGCAGGGCCTTCGGATCCTGGGCTATACACTGAAGAGCTGCGCTTCAGAGCTGGGCTTCCTCCTCTTCTCCCTCACCATGGCCATCATCATCTTCGCCACGGTCATGTTCTATGCTGAGAAGGGCTCCAGCTCCACCAAGTTCACCAGCATCCCTGCTTCTTTCTGGTACACCATTGTCACCATGACAACGCTGGGGTGAGTAACAGACATATGTGCACCCATGCACAAACACACACACACACACACACACGCTCACACACACACACACACACACCTCTACCTGTAGTTATATATGTTATAGTACTAAAACAATTGATCATGATGTTGATAAACGTTCTCTGTGTATTTTCCTATAGAATTACTACTTTTTGGAAACCACTTTGAATTTTAAACAAGCATTAAGACAGCCTGCCCACGGAACCCAGTACTACAGCTTACTTGAGGCTGCCAGCGTGAGTAATGGTGGGCAGTGTAGCATTTATCTACCAACACAAACACTCGTGCCGTTTTGTTTGCTTCACTCGGAGCTCGCCAAATACAGGGCCAGTTAATTAATGGATACAATACATTGAAGAATTGAATAGTTGCATGGAGGCTTCCTAGGCTTGTGTGTTTGCATTAAGTACCTGACTTAAGGACTTTTGATTTTTGTTTCCTTTAATCTGTATTTTCATTTTTACTTTACTTTTGTTTTTTACATTTTATTTCCTTTTGACAAAGAACCAGACTGAACGAGGGATGTGTGTTATGAGTAGACTAAATACTAGCCAGTGAAATTAATTGTTAGTATTTCATCATTGCACAACGGTTGTCAACTGCTGCATCTAAGGTGTTACATAACCACGCACCACTAGGGTGGGCTACAACCCAGGCACTTTATTTCCCGATAATCAATTATGTAAAATATTATACACACATGTACATACATACATACATATACTGTATATGTATAGTATTTTATTCTTGACTGGTATATAACCAGTTGAGTCTTAAATACACTTGATCAGACAACAATTAATCTTATCGATTAAACTGTGCACGGCCTTTTAATGTTTTCTCACTGTCTTGTTTAGACGAGTCAACCGGCCCAAATTTAAATTATCGTTTAATCGACAGGCAAATGGGTCATTTGGAAAATCTCTGGACTGATTTATATATATATATATATATATATACAGATTTTGGAGACTAATTGTGATGATTGCCCAATGAATGCTTTCTCACCTTTGTTTCCTTTTTCAATTTGAATGACATGACTCCTCATTACTTTTTAGATGAACAGGTTTGGTTTGAATAATTTGCAGAAGGAAATCTTATCTTCGGCTCTGTATTTTTGACAGATTTCGTCTCTCCGAACTGAAGCACCATATTTGTGGTCTAGGCCTTCGGTGTAAAAATGCCTTGCAAGGAATCAATGTGTAACTGCATTATAAAGTCAGATCTCTCTGCAGTGTGCCTGGAGGCGAATGTCCCATGAGAGATCCCCTGTCACCTTTATTATGATTCCACTCTGCTCTTAATCTTTCACACAAGCTCTCTGAGATTCAGCACCATGAATGCCAGGGTGAACTTGAAAGTGTTCCCCCAAGTTTGGCTAAGTAAAGGACTGTATTGTGAAGTGGAAGAATAGTTAGGAGTTCCTAAAAGTCACTTTTTCACTCAGTGTCTCTATGCTGGTGCTGTGTATCTGTAACTGCTGTATGTATAAATGCAAAACCGCCTTTTGGGATAAAACTGGATGGCACAAAAATACATTAAATCTGATGAGTATTGACCATGTTTTCCTGTTGGCTATATTATGATCAGACAGGAAGCATTAAAGGAAAAGTTCACAGTGTCTTTAAAGAGTGCTGACATGTGCACATGTTCATTGAGGGTTTTTGGTCGATATGATTTCTCCTCTTGTCAGTATTTGCTGGGAAGAGATCCTCTTCCAACATTTGTCCAATAAAGCAGCACGGTGGTGCAGTAGTTAGTACTGTTGCCTCACAGTTTCTCCAGGTGTTCCAGCTTCCTCCCAAAGACATGCAGCTTGGAGCTAGGTTGGAGACTTTAAAATGACTGGAGGTGTGAATGTTAGTGTGATTGGTCGTTTGTCTCTCTTTGTTGGGCCTGGGATACACTGGCGACCTGTCAAGGATGTACCCCGCCTCTCAATGTCAACTGGAACTGGCTCCAGGTCCCCCCCTGTGACACTAATGGGAAAAGCTAGATGGATGGATTATTATTATTCTGTAGAAGTTGAAACAGGTGAATATTTTGTATTTGGTATTGGTAATTTATCAATGACCAAACTAGTTGATTTTCTGGACGGATTTTTAACAAGGATATGCCGCCTGTGGGTACACATAGAAGGATTTTAGTATTTAAAATACTCTCTCGTTTTGTCGACCTCAGACTGCTGCAGCTTCACATTCGCTCCAGCTGAACATACGAGCACATTTTTGCCCTGGAAGTGAATTTTGTCCCTCATCACTCACCTTGAAATTGCTTTAGGAAGGGATCTGTTCACAGTCATTATGGACAGAAGAAACAATTTCAGCAGCCATTAACTCAGTGTTATTGCTGTTTTAAAGGTGCAGTGTGCAGGTTTCAGGGGGATCGATCAATCAGCAGTAATGCAAAATAGGCTATGAATGTTTTCATTAATGTATAATTATCTGAAACAAATGATTGTTGTGTTTTTTGGGAATGAGCCCTTTATATCTACATCAGGTCCTCGTCCAAGGAGGCCGTCATGTTTCTACAGTAGCCAAGAATGGACAGAGGGCGTGTCACATTTAAAAATTATCTGAAGGCCACTATAGACTTTTTCTAAACATTTATAAGAGGTGCCATGTGGAGGGAGCTAGCTGCAATATGCGGCTTCACCACTAGATGCCACTAGATTCTACACACTGAACCTTTAATACTGTTTATGGTCAGTGGTTTTCTCCTGCTGTTGCCATCCAGTACAATTACTGGTTTTAATTTGTTATTTGATGCCATAAAAACGGGGGAAAATGTCATAATTCACAGCTGAGACTGAAAAGCGATTGGTCGAGAGCATGTGTGTCAGTGGGACCCCGCTACAACAGCTTCTTCCCTTCATCACTACTGCGCAGACTCTGGCTCTAAATTAAATCATAATTGCAAAATGGCAGCATCTGTATCGGGAATATTTTGGCTTAATGTTTTGAATAACGGGAGGATCGATCTTTCAATAGGCCTAATCGGATCAACATGCCAAAAGAATAAAAGTAGAATGTCATCCTGGACATTTCTTGTTACAGATATAACTCTTGGGGCAGTTCGGGCTTTAGACCTGTAAATATTGTTTCAGAAGTGCTGTATTTTCCACAGTGTTCATTATTGAGAGGGTTATTGTGAACACTGGACAGGAGAATGTGTGGGCTGTCATGCTGCTCCTCATTTCACCATCACCACTCCATACCATTTGATGTGACCTTCTAGCTTTTCCTTGTGTACTTTCTAACCCTGTGGGTCTGGTTTCCTTGCTGAGGAGTGACCTGTTTGACTAGCAGATGTGAGAGTTTCTGCCCTTTAAGCTGAAATTAGAGTTGTTACATCAGCGTCGCAAAATGTTATTTAGTCTTTTGGTTGAGGTCAGTGTGTCAGAGTTCTGTCTTTTCACAAAAAGCAAAAATTAAATTCAAATTAAATCTCAGCACCAGAATAGCTGTATTAGTCTTCCATCTGCAGCTCGGGCTGAAGAGGCTGCTGAACCTTACCTGTGCTGCAGTGTGCATCATTATTGTATTGCACACACAAAAGGATAGAAATACCAAGGTTAAAGCATTATGTAAAGTCTGAACCCTGAGCAATGAGTTTGTGTGGAGCTATTATGTCTGACACAATAGTCAGCAGCACTGAGAGTCTCTCTGCAGCTTCAACAATAGTGATCCACATCACTAACCGAGGACAGTCATTTGCAATTTAGGAGAACTATCAATTGATGCATGTTCAAGGCTGAGTGTTCATATTCAGGATGGTTTCTCTCTGCAGCCAAAATCCAAAACCAATTCTTGGGGACTAAGGTACATACTGTCCATTCAGACTTTATGTGCTCTGTGAAAAATATCATATAATTTCTTTATCTTCCAAATACAATCTGATCATAGTTTTTTTGTCCTTTTTCTCATACATCGAAGATTTCAAGCAGAACTACTGATGCCAGGATATTTAAAATCTTCTAAAATATACGTATGAATATTTAAAACTAAAGTGTAGAGTGAATACCTCCAGCCATGTCCTGTTAGATGTAAACAAGCTGCACCAAACTACAAACAATCATAGACATCAATCCCCTAAATATGTCAGATTTGATCAAGATCCATGAATTATTCCCTAGTGAATCTATGAAAAATCTTTCAATGTTAAAGAATGAAATAAAGATCCAGATCCATGCCAAGATTTGATACGCTCTCTCTTGGCTCACACTGCATTCTTCCACCAAGTTTCAAAAACATTGGCTCAGTTGTTGTTTCTTATCGTGCTGACAAACAAACATGAAATCAGATCGTCTTCATCAGAGACATTAAAACAGTAACACACACAGGTTCAGTAGTCTATGTTTTGAATTGCTCCAACTCCCACTGACAAAACAAAAGCCAGTAAAATGTTAAAAAAGTGATGCTAGTACAGTATGTTCCTCCCACCCTCCTCCAGAAAGCTTAGTCTCCATCTAAACCAAACAGCAAGTGAGGCATTGTTGTGTCCTCCTCCCCTTCTGCGATGTGATGACCTTGTGAAGGGAAACATGTTTAGTTGATGAGGTCAATGATAACTCATTTGACAAAGCACATCAAAACTACAAGGGGACAAAAGACCTTAACGTCTGTTAGACCGACAAAGGGAAGAGGCAAATAAATAACAAAAACATTCGCTCTGGTCTCTTGAGCTCTTATTGAGCTTTTCTAGTCAATTTTCTAAAAGTGGTCTCTCTTCATCAACATCATCAATCTCCACCGATTGGACTGGCTGTGTGTGTGTGTGTGTGTGTGTGTGTGTGTGTGTGTGTGTGTGTGTTTCAGATTGCATTATTTTCTTACAAATTGGTTTCCACAAAAAACTGGGAGCTTTCATCATCTAATGGTAAACAAGATCGTGAAATTCGTTTGACTCTATATTTGGCTCACCAAATACTGTAGTTTTCAGTATTCATCTTCAGCAAATCAATGCATCTGACCACAAAC